GCACTGGCTCTCAGCTCGGGCCACCGCTGTGTGGGGCTGTTTACAACAGCCGCGTGTGGGATTCCCAGAAAGAGACTCCAAACCGGACATCCTGCGGCTACAAAATACCCAGGTGTCAAGAGCTAAAAATAGCTGCCCCCGGGCCCCAGCTGCCCAGAGGTGGCGGGACAGGGCCACGCTCACTGTGGAGGCAGGAGGGCTGGCCCCACGGCCTCATATCCAGCCTCCTGCCTGGTGCACAGCTGCGGAGCCTGCAGAGCTGCTCAATCCCTTTGCCTCAGACTGATGGAGGCCTTCTTCTGGGCAGGCAGGCGTTCTCGGTTGCTCACCTGCCAGCTGAGTCCCTGCCCTGATGGGCGGTCGGTCCCTCTGCCTGCGCAAAGAAACGGTGCAGCTTGCTTTGCGATGCTAGTGAGAGAGTCTTAGAGGCACTGGGGGGCTCCTAGAGAAAGGACAGGGCAGGGCGCCCTAGAGCAGGGAACCTGGAGTTGATGCTCCTCCAAGGCCCCAGCCTGTTGCCAGCCTCCTGTCTCCAGCATCCAGTCTCAAATCACTGCTTGGTGTCTCCAACGTCAGCAGCTGCTCTAAGTGATTATTTAGGACTGTCTGCACGGGCGCACAAAGATGAAACAGGCAGCTTCTGCCCTCTCGCCTGGGCAGGGCGGGGGGTTGCCGCTGGCATGGGTCTCTGCGGGGCTGTGTGAGTTTTCGGTCTTTCCCCGTGCCCACCTAGCTCCTGCATGTGTCCTGTGCTGGCTGGCCCGTGGCAAGTGGAAATGCTCTGGTGGGGCTGTAGCATGTATTGGTTCAGAGTATGGATCCTGGAACCTAGCTGCCTGGGCTTGAGTCCCAGCTCAGCCACTCTGCATTGTGTGACCTCAGAGAAGTTATTTCATACTGCTGGGCCTCAGTCAACTCATCTGTCTAATGGGAATAAAGACAGTAACCACTTTCTAGGTTTGTTGTGAGGGTTAGATAAGTTAGCAAATAAAGTTCAGATGGGAGAGAAAGGGAAGAGACTGCAGTTGGGAGAGGTTGGGGCTAGGAGAAGGGTCAGGGTTGTGCATCTGGGAGAACGGGGTTTGAGGCAGAGGAAAGGAGGGGAGGTGGGACCAGACATTAAAATGCTGACACCTGAAGGGAGACTGCATGCCAACTGCAGGAGGCAAACAGTAGTCACCACCACTGAGGGAGCAGCCATGGGTGCCGGCTGCTTCACACACAGAATTGCTAACCTCAGGTGGCCTCTTCCAGCCAGGTCTTCTTATCTCCTGATTACAGGAGGGGCAGCTGGGCTTGACCAGGTTGAATTGTGTTTCAGGCTGTTCCTGCCAGTCACAGAGAGGGTTGGGGTTCAAACCCAGGCCCATCTGACCTCGAGCCAGTGTCCTCTGTGCTTCACATCCTCACTTCTCTCACAGTTTGTGGCCTGCCAGCTTCATGTCGCAGGGTTTCCAGCCCACTCTTGGCCCCCTGCTGGGTTCTAGATAAATCTGAGCAAGGAGCAGTTCATTGCCAAGATAATGGGCGGTATCGAGAATTTCTAGAAGGGAGACACAAGAAACTGTTAGAAAAGGCTGATTCTAGGGAAGCTCTAGGGAGTCTGGGATGAGTGAAAAACTTTTTGCTTTACACTTTTTGGGGCTCTTTGAACTTTTTTTTAGTATCTGCAAGTAATATATTTTTTCAAACATTTTTAAGACTGTGGGCTGTATTTTAAATTCCTTAAGAGTGAAAACCAAGTTTTATCTGTATTTTCTTTCCGACCCCTAGATCAGTGACTTCCCATGGAGATTGTTAGTACCTGCGCTTGAGATTGACCTTTTGGGTTTCCGCCGCGCTGCCTGGCCTTGCTGGACCACTGGCCTGCCGGAGGCTGTGACCTTGCCCTTCTCCTCACTCTTTCCTCCTCTGCCAAGTGAGGGCCTTGGCCTGAATGATCTCTAAAGCCTGGGAGAAGAGCTGCTCCTCCATACTCAGCCCTCGCTCTGTGTCAGGGAGGCCTGGCAACCTTTCTTTCTCCTGTTTATTTATTCTTGGATCTTCCTGAAGCCAGTTCACCCCCAGCTTTTGTCCTTTCTGCCAGCCTTCATGCGGGGTCACGCTTGGTCCAGCCTGTATCTGAGAAAGAGAACCAGAGGCTGCAAGCTGGGGTGTGAAGGGAGTCAGCCCTGAGGCCAGGACTGTGGCCTCCTGCCACTGCCTGCTGTCCTGGGGTCTCCTACTTCCTTTTCAGCTAGTCAGGAGACCAGGGAGGTGGGAACAGCCTCAACAAAGACACCGGAGGCATTGGGAGGGGCTTCAGGGTGGCAGCGCTCCTAGGGAAGCCCTCTCCCCCGACAAAGGGCCTGAAGCCCCTGGGAGAGCAGGTGGTCGGCAAGGCTCAGGTTTCTGGCCACATTGTGTAGATCTGGGGGGCAAAGTCACACCTGCTGGGAAGGTAAGACCAAGGCTGGGACCTGAGGCAATTAGGTAGGAGTAGTGGGGAAGCCAGCTTGTCGTTCAAGGGTAGAATTGTGGTGTTTGTGTCTACTCTGGAGGTTGCTGAGGGCTGACCTGGGCCTACTGTAGCAGGATTTCTGGGGCTCCTTGGTTCCGGGTGAGATCAGGTCCTCTGATTTAGGAAGGTGACTCGGTAGGCTCAGGTGCCTTAGCAACAAGTAAAGTGCTTCTTAAGTTTAACTGTACTTGCCTCCAAGGAAGGTAGAAACGGGGAGTAGTGAGGATTTCAAAAAGGGGAACTCCCCATCCTGGCAGAGAGCTGCGTGGAGAAGGGTCCAGCCCTGGGCCCATCCCTCAGGTCCGCTTACTCCTTGTGTTATTTCAGTCTGACCCCAAATTAGCCGTAATCGCCCTCTGAGAGAGGGAGCGAGGAGCCGATGAGAAGAGGGGTCCCCAAATTCAAGCCAGAACTGAAATGCAGGATGTTCATGTTCTGGCTTCAGTGCAGCTACTGACTGGGGGCCATTAGATACCTTTCCTCTCTCTGGGACACAAAGAGAGCTGTTCCCAGGTCTTATCTCTGTTGCTCCGGGCTCTTTTGAACTCAGTGGCCCTCAGCACAGAGCTATTGCCAGGAGTCGGGGGAGAAGCAGACTTTTCCCAAGAATTGCTTTTGGAAGCAGCGCCTGTTGCCAGCCCACACACGCACATGCACGCACACACGCGGCTTTTCTGAACAGAGTTTATGTTATAGATCATCACCACAAAATATCCCTTTTGGGTCTGGTAACAAACACCACAGAGTTCAGGGACATTAATTTTTCTCCTATCCAGAGAGTGCACGGCGTTCGGAATCTGTGGTTACCGGGGGAGCGAGGCACAGGAACCTGGCTCTGCTCCCAAGCGTGAATGCTGCTGACAAGCCCTCAGGCGGGGGCCCCAGGGGAGGTGGGAGAGAATTCCCAGGAGGCAGGGGACCCTAAGCCTGACACTGTCTCTGGGGTGCACCCTGCAGCCCAGTCCAGAAACTTCTCTTGGGGGACCAGGTCCTGCAGAAGAAAGAGGAGGTTCTGAGAAGGCTCAGGGTTAGGGGTTACCCTTGTCCTGGGGAGGGAATCTGCCTCAGGGGCTCACAAACCTTGAGAAACAATTCATGCTGTGTCTCAGGCAGGTGGCCGGGAGAGAGCCACTGTGTTTGATTCACCAGTCACAGAGCCTGCTGCGTGCCCAGCAAGCTGTGAGGTGCGGGTGGGCATGGCTTACAAATGGCACCACAGAGATCATGACTGATGAAGCATCAAGGCGGTGGACACAGGGCTAGTGCTATGGGAAGGGAGGAGAGAAGAGGTCAGGGTAAGCTTCACCAGGAGATGTTGGGCCGGATCTCAAAGGACGGGCAGCATTTGAATAGGTGGAGTAGCATTTCCTGACTATACGTTGTCATCGAAGCACAGGGCACCGGCATTTGGGGGCAGTTGGTGGGAGTCTCCCTGTGCCTAGAGCCTCCTCCCCCGGCAGCACTGGCCTGCAAGGAGTTCTCCTTTCTCAGCTTCTGGAAGAGGAACTGTGGCTGCCCCTGAGACACAGACCCAACGAGTAGCACCCACCAGTTGTTCTGCAGAAAGTCTCCCTTCTGCCCCAAGTCTGGCCTGCACAGGTCTTCACCCAGTGCCCCCAGGTGGCTTCCTATCCCCTTGGCCCTGAGTTGGAATGGCAGGAGGGAAAGGTGTCCCTCATGGACAGGTGGCCTCAGGACTTGCCTCTGTCTTGCCCTGCCCCAGCCAGCCTCTGGGTTCCTTGGGGTCTTTCTGTTGCTGCCTAGCTCGGGCCCTATGATAGTGCTACGTGGGTTCTGAATGAGACAGGAGGACCAGAGCGGGGTTTAGGAATCTGGGAGAGGTAGCTGTTTCCAAAGGAAAAGATTTCTATCTCAGGTTATCCAAGAAAGAGGCCGGGTAGGTCTCTTCTCTGGGGGAACAGAGGCTGAGGACACAGGCTGGTGCAGTAGCAGGAAAGGGGTCCCCATTTGGGGTCCTCGGGCTATACATTCCAGACCACACCACTCCACAGCTCCCACCAGATCTGACTTTGCCTCCAAGCCATGACCCAGCCCCATCTCCAAGCCTGTGCCCCTTTCTGAGCCTGCGCCCCATCTCCCTGCCAGCCTCCCCAGCCAGCTCTCCCACCCCTGGCCCCACCTCTCCTCCCAGCCCTCTTTCCCTTCAGGCTATAGGAGCCTGGTTTGGCTGCCCAGGGAAGATTGTATCTGACCACACCAGGGAGGGCTGAGGGTACTGTTGGGTGAGCTGGGGCCTCCTTAGTTTCTTGCCATGCATGGACTGAGCTCAGGTCACTCAGTGGGTGGATGGGGAAGGGGGAGCAGGAACCCCTCTCAGCCAGCATGGGCATTTGCAGAGAGGGGTGGGAGGTCAGCTTCTGGTGGAAGCCCAGGTTTTGGCATGCTCAGCTGGAACGGCAGGGGCTGGCCTGGCTTGGCTCTCTCTCCCTGCTTTCCCCTTCCTTGCAGCCCCTTCACTCCATCTCTCTTCTCTCTGCAGATGGGACCCAGGTGAGTCCGGGTGCCCACTGTCCCAGGCCCCCTGGCACAGGTAAGAGTCAGGCCTAAGGGAGCCTGTGGTGGGGAGTGGAAGGTGAGGGATGGAGGGCCCCCAGGGAGGCGAGAAGCCGAGGGGTTGCAGAGGCAGGGTGGCTGGCTGGTCGGCTAGAGAGTAGGCAGGTGGGGGTGCCAGGTGAGGGGTGAAGTTGGGGTGCCATGAGGAAGGGCTGAGGAGTTGGGTAAGACAGGCAGCTCTGAATGGGGGCTGGGCCCGGTGCCAGGAAGCACAACAGGAAAAGGAAAGACAGGATGCTCTTCTTGTCCTTGCTGGGTGTAGTGAAACAGGAAGGAAAGGAGGAGGCTAATATTTATACTCAGACCCCTGCCCCACGTCAGGCACCAGGCGAAGTGTGTTGTTGTTTGTCAACCCATATGGTGGGTGTAGCAGCCCATGCAGGACTGCTCCGTGGGAGCCAAAGGGCTGCCCTAGTGAGATGGCTCTGTCACCGTCCTTGAGTCTCCCCTGCCGGCCCAAGCTTCCTCTGCTGTTAGGCTGCCCTGGGGAAGGGGTGGACTTCCTGCGGCCATGTTGGTTTAGGACCTGCCCATGGGGCTAGGTCTGGACTGGGCGAGGCCTGCCCTTCCTTCCCTTCAGCCAATGTCCACGGAGGGCCTACAGAGTGCAGGACAGACAGCCTGGTGCCAGTGACTCCACATGGCAGGGAGCAGGGGAGCCCAGGTATCCTCCTGGCTGTCAAAACGCTAACAGGCAGGTTGGGGAGATGGACACACAAATAAAAGAAAAAAGCAGTAGAATGCAGTATGTGCCCAGTGCCAAATGAGAGGACACCTGATTAATATTCAAGAATCGATGAACCCCATCTCTGTGCCAGGATCCCTTCCTAGGCATTTTAGGGGGGATGCAGGGATTTATTCATTGATTTCATGTTGACTGAGTGCCGATCATGCACTAGGTACTATTCTAGGTGCTGGGGATAATGAGCATTGGATGAAACCAAGTCCCTGCTCTATGGAGCTTAACTCAGGCATGGTACCTGCCCACCAAGTGCTTCTCCTGCTGTGGAACAGCCAGCATGATTGCTGTGCAGAAGAGGGAGGACCCTGGGCACTGCACTGGGTCCAGCGAAGAGGGAGGACTCTAGCTAGGCTTTAAGCAAAGGGCAGGATTTGGAAGAGTAGAATATAGGGACAAGGACAGCATACGCAGGTGACATTGGGAGGAAAAGCTCAGAGGATAGAACATACACAGGCTGTGACAGGGTGGAAGCTGATGGCCAAGGTGGAGGGTCTTGTGCAGATGGAGGAGACCGAGTTGAGAGAAGCCAAGTTAGGATCAATTGTATCACCCCCCAAATGCTAAAGCACCCTGAAAGGTACTTTCCAGGGTCCCAGGCAGAGCCCCTCCTATGTTCTCTTCTGCTCTGGAGGCAGTGGCTGTGCTGAGAGTGAGGGATGCGGCCACTGCTAGGGGCTGCTCATAGTCCGTGTGGCGGAAGCCATGGGTCTGGGGTCCAGGTGGCCCGCCTTGGGCTCCCCTAAGGTCCTCTTGCATCATCATCAGGGGAGTCACCCCAGGAAGCCAGGACACCAGATCATGGGAGGACTAAGACCTTTCCTGGGGCAGGAGTGTGTTGGTACTGGAGGCCCAGACTCCGCCAGAATGAGCATCGGGAATCTTTAGGTGGCCACGTGAACAGGGGTGGGGGCATCGAAGCCGCACGTTGTCTGCTGTGGGCCACATCTGGGTGTACAGCCATCCCTTCAGGGCTCTCGATGTGGGTGGGGGTGGGGCAGCTCCTCTGTCACGTCCATCTCACAGAGAATGCTAGTGAGTGTCCCTTAGGGATAACATGCTGCAAGCCTCTCTTCCTTTGCCCAGTGAGAAGCCCCCTTGAGGGTTGGCGACTTCCTGCAAGTTGGTGGAAAAACAGCACTGGCCTCGGCAAGACTAGAACCCATGCTAGCTCTGCCCCTAGATGGGAGACTGGATGGGTCCCTTTACCTCCGAGCCTCGGTTTCCTCATTTGGGATAACAGAATAGTAACAACTACAACTACCACCCCGGGTGGGTGGGGGTGATGAGGGGAAAGGGTCTGCAAATGCCTGTGCACACCTGCTACAGATGCAAACATCGGGATTAGGAGGGGTTGGGTTGGGCCTGGGGGCTGCGACTCCCTGCTAACTCCCTGACTGGCGCTTTGCCATGAAGCCTTTTCAGCCCTCCTTGGCCTGGGCCCAGGGGATGGCTGTGGCTGCCTGTTGGGGAATGCCCAGTGTTGGGACTGCTCTGGGGGGGACCTGCTCCCCACCTGCTTCCCCTTCTCCAGGACAGTCTGCCCGCAGCAGATCCATCTCCGAGTGTCTTGGCCTCTCTGGCTGCTCGGCCCAGCCGGCTGTGCTGACACGGACCCTGGTTTGGCGGCCAGTTATAAATAGCCCCTGCACCCACAGACTGGGTGCTTCTGGAGTGGGTGCAGAGGACTTGACAAGAGGCAGCCAAGCCTGCCGTCTTCACCGGGCCAGGCCCAGAGCTGCTGTGGAGGCACCCAGGACCAGGTCCGGGGGCACGTGGGCCCAGGCAGCTGAGGAACCTGCCTTGGGCACAGGGCTCTGCTGGCCCAGGTGGCTGGCCAGGGCTGCCGTAGGCTTGAGGCATCACTTCTTTATCTGATGACCGGGGCTAGAGCATGGGAGGGTGGTGACTGAGAGGGCCTGCCAGGCCCTTTGGGGTTGGAGGAGGAACAGCGTGGGCCTGTTTGCCTGCCTGTTTGCCTGCCTGATCGCTTCCTTTGAGCCCAGCTCATTAGCCGGCAGCTGGGCAAAGCCTCTTATTCAGAGGTTGGGGAGGGGCAAAGGGAAGGAGAGGGCAGGGCCCAGAATATACCACTGTGGGGCCTGCAGTCCAGCACTAAATCCCCGTAGCCCTCTGCCCTGTGCCTGGGGAGGAACATTTTGTGGAAAAGCCCTACGCCTGGAGTCAGAAGCGCAACTCAGACACCCCCAGCGATCGAGTGTTACTGTGTACAGATGGTATGACCTCCTTTCTCATGGGTAAAATGGAGTTGATGATACTCACCTTGCAGGACCACGGCATGGATTAAGTGAGGAAAAGGCCCCGAGGGTGTGCTGCGGTTGTTAAGTGAGCCTGAAGGAGGCTGAGCGGGCTGCAGCCTGCACCTGCAGGCAGACTGTCCAGTTGACCCTGCCTTCTCTCTCTGTCCCCAGGCTGCCCCAAACCCCGTGCAGACACTCCAGGCCCTCAGCCCCAGCCCATGGACCTGCGGGTAGGCCAGCGGCCCACGGTGGAGCCCCCACCAGAGCCCACGCTGCTGGCCCTGCAGCGTCCCCAGCGCCTGCACCGTCACCTCTTCCTGGCAGGCCTGCAGCAGCATCACTCGGCAGAGCCCATGAGGGTAAAGATAGAGCTCCCCAAACACGGGGTGACCTTGGGCTTGGCCCCCAGCCTCCCTCCCTCCTCCACCCTCCCTAGACCCCAGCCTCTGTCCTCAACGCCTTGCCCCTTCCTGGGCTGCTGGCCCTGCCCACAGCTCTCCATGGACACGCCAATGACCGAGTTGCAGGGCGGGCAGCAGGATCAAGAGCTGCGGCAGCTTCTCAACAAGGACAAAAGCAAGCGAAGTAAGGATGGGGGTCGCCCCAGCCTGGGAGCCCACGGCCGCCTGTGTGGGTCTGGGAGTGGGGAGGGGCACAGCCAGCTGGGCCACCAGCCGCCTGCTCTCCCTCTGCTTGCCTGGCTCTGCCTGAGTGTGGGGGGTCTGGAGGCTCCAAGGAGGGTGGTACCTCTGCTTGGCTCTTGCCTGAAGAGTCCCTAGGATGCATCATACTGGGGGTGTGGACAAGGCAATGGGCAGAGAGTGTACCTGGGAGGCCGCCCATCCACCCACTCCCAGCCCACTCCTGACTCCCACCCTGCAGGTGCCGTAGCCAGCAGTGTAGTCAAGCAGAAGCTGGCAGAGGTGATTCTGAAGAAGCAGCAGGCAGCCCTAGAGAGAACAGGCCACCCCAATAGCCCCAGCATCCCCTACAGGTAACTCCCTCTCCCCACCTGCTCCCTCTGTCCCACCGTGACCCACATGCATACTTGCCCCTTCCTCCCCAGCTGCCATCACCTGACCTGTAATGCCTCTCAAGCTCTCTCCACTCATCACTGCCCTCTTCTCTCTTTCCATGATCTCTCCCCACCCCACCTGAGGCCCCCCCACATGCCCTGCTGGCTTTCTTCTCGAACACAGGAGTCCCTTCTCTCTTTGTATCTTCTCCTAAGCACAAAAATGCCCTAGTTCCTAGAGCAGGTTCTTGCTGCAGGAGACAGACAGTCCCCACTGGGGCCCTCACCCAAGCGCTGAGACCCTGGCTTCTCTGCCTAGATCAGAGCAGGATGGGTGGCCCACTGCTGCCCCCTGGAGATGGTCCCCATTCCTGCCGGCCCTGCCTGCTGCTGCCTCCCTAGCAGGTCCCAGGCCCATGTGCCGTGCTCAGGAAGGTGCCTGTGCAGCACCTGCCACTCTGAAGTGCCAGGGCACTCCCTCCACAGAACTCTTGAGCCCTTGGAGACAGAAGGAGCCGCCTGCTCCATGCTCAGCAGCTTTCTGCCTCCTGTGCCCAGCCTGCCCAGTGACCCCCCAGAGCACTTCCCCCTGCGCAAGACAGGTGAGCTGGGCACGCGAGCGAGCGGGGCCCTGCTGGGAAGTTAGGGGGAGGGCCTCGGATGCAGGTCAGGAGTGCAGAGGGTGGGGGCCACGGTCCACAGGCTGTGGTCTTCTCTCTGGCGCTGCCGTCTCTTGCCTAACCCACAGAGATGACTGGGGGTGAGGGACCAAAGGGCGGCGTGGGGCCTGAGTAACGCTGGTGCTCCTCGCAGTCTCTGAGCCCAACCTGAAACTGCGCTACAAGCCCAAGAAGTCTCTGGAGCGCAGGAAGAATCCGCTGCTCAGGAAGGAGAGTGCGCCACCCAGCCTCCGGCGGCGGCCTGCAGAAACCCTGGGAGGTGAGGGCAGCAGCCACCCTCAATCCTGGCAGGTCTTGACCCTCTGGGTCGGGTCCCATCCAGATGGGTGTCCCCTCCTCAGGGCTGTTGTGTGTGGTCATACAGGGTGTGTCCTACACACTTGCTGGAGGGGGTCGGGGGCGTGCTGACTCCTATCCTGCTTAGATGTTGGCTCAGCTGACATCTGCCCAGAAAAGGGCAGATAAAAAAAATAGTCCCCAGGTGCTGTAGGCTAGGTGTGGCCTGCCTTCTTTCTGCTCTTATGGGAAGAAAGCAGGAAGCAGAGGCTGCCGATCAGGGAAGAGGCTGCTTCTGGGTACCTTCCTGCCCACTACGGCCTCTGATGCACCTCCCTTTCTCCCCACCCCAGACTCCTCCCCCAGTAGTAGCAGCACACCCGTGTCAGGGTGCAGCTCCCCCAATGACAGCGAACATGGCCCTAACCCTGTCCTGGGCTCGGAGGTAAGGCCTTGCCAGGACTGGGCTCTCCTGGGGCAGTTCTGAGGCTCAGCCTTCTTCCAGCAGACAGCCGACCTGGGCTGGGGCCGCAGGGTCTGGGCAGCCCGCAGCAGAGCCTCTGGGGGTTCTGGGGAGCGTGCCGGGGTGGAGGGCTGGGACCGGTGACCCCTGGCCCTGCTCCCTATGGCAGGCGCTCTTGGGCCAGCGGCTGCGGCTGCAGGAGATTTCTCTGGCCCTGTTCGCCTTGCCGACAGTGTCCTTGCTGCCCACAATCACACTGGGGCTTCCTGCCCCTGCCAGGGTGAGTGGCTGGGGCGCCAACCCCCACTTCAGGCCTCCCAGCTTCTTTCACTCTCTTTTCCTACTGCCTCACCCCATCACCTCCACTGCTCTCTGCTGGAAGGTTCTCCCCGTGACTTCTCCCTACTTCTCTCCCAGGTTGATGGTGATCGCAGGACCCATCCAACTCTGGGCCCTCGGGGGCCGGTCCTGGGGAGCCCCCATGCTCCCCTCTTCCTGCCCCATGGCCTGGAGGCCGAGGCTGGGGGCGCCTTGCCCTCTCGCCTGCAGCCCATTCTCCTCCTGGACCCCTCAGTCTCTCATGCCTCCCTGCTGACTGGTAAGTCCCACTGCTTCTCTGGGGGGCTGAGGGTGGATCCCTGCACCCTGCTAAGGGCCAAGCTTGGGAAGGGACCCCTCCTTCCTGCCCCTTCCATCCCCCTGTCCTGTGCATCTCCCTGCTGTGCCCTAGTCCCCACTCCATACCCTGGCTTCCTTCCACTGCTCCCCGTGGTCCCCTCCTTATGCCCCCGCCACCCCATTCTTTCCAGTGCCTGGGTTTGGGCACGTGCCCTTCCACTTTGCCCAGTCCTTACTGACCACCGAGCGGCTCTCCGGGTCAGGCCTCCACCGGCCGCTGAGCCGGACTCGTTCAGAGCCCCTGCCCCCCAGTGCCACCACCCCTCTACTGCTGGGCCCCCTGCAGCCTGGCCAGGAGCGACTCAAACCTCACATCCAGCTGATCAAGGTGAGAAGAACTGGGTAGGGGCTGTTCTGAGTGGGTGCTTAACTGGCCTCTGGGGGCCTGAAAGCAGAGGGACTTAGGAAGGGCAGGGACCTGGAGGGCTAGAGGGAGGATGTGGCTTCTGGGGGCCCAGAGCTGCATGGTGCTGAAGTCCTTGGCCCTACCCTCCACCTCCTATCCCACACCCATCACTCCACCGTGGCTTCTCAGCCAGGCGTCTCCCTTCCTCAGAGGCCAGCCAAGCCGAGTGAGAAGCCCCGACTGCGGCAGATACCCTCAGCTGAGGACCTCGAGACGGATGGGGGCGCAGTGGGGCAGCTGCAAGACGACGGCCCGGAGCACAGGGAGTTGAGCCATGCGCAGCCCGAAGCCAGAGGCCCTTTTCCTCTCCAGCAGCACCCGCAGGTACGGCAGTGCCCGCACACCCCTCAGAGAGCGTGTGCAAGACTCTGCGGCCGGGCATGAGATGAGGAAGGGAGGGAGATGTGGTATTAGTGCAGGGGACAGCTCTGGAACCCATGGTTACCCTACAAGATCCCAGGTGCTGCATCCACTCCAAGATGCAGGCACATACATGTGTGCACACATTCACACACACACATAAACACCCACACGTACACACATGCTCCAGCAGCCTGCCAGTCTCAGGGTGAAGACATGTCCCTTTTCCAGCAGGGAGTCTGGCCTTCCATGGAGCCATGCACACCCTGTCCTAGTGTGTCTCCCCTGTACCCAGGCACAGGTGGCTGGGGCAAGAGGCAGGAAGGAGCTAGGCTCAAGCACTCCAACCAGATGGAGTGCTTAATTCACCATGTGAACCAAGCCACGGTGTATTTGTTTGCTAGAGCTGCTGGGACAAGTACCACAGTCTGGGTGCCTTAAACAGCAGAAATTTATCACCTCTCAATTCTGGAGGCTGGGGAAGCCCAAAATCAAGGTGTTGGCAGAGTTGGTTCCTTCTGAGGGCTGCGAGGGAAGGAGCTGTCTGGCATCTCTCCTTGGCTAACAGAGGGTCATCTTCTTCCTGTGTCTTCACATGGTCTTCCCTCTGTCTGTGTCTGTGTTCAAACTTCCTCTTTTTACGAGGACAGCAGTCATATTGGATTAAGGCCCACACCGATCACCTCATTTTCACTCAATTACCTCTGTAATTTGGAGACCCTGTCTCTAAATAAGGTCACATTCTGAGGCACCGGGGGCTAGGACTTCAACTGTGAATTGGTTTGGGGGCACAGTGTGACACGTGGGTCCATACATGTGTTCTGGGGCAGCTGCACAGTCTGTGGAGATGAGGAGATCCTGATCAGAGCTGGACCCAAGTCCCCTCACTTGGGTCTGGTTTCGGGTCCCAAGGGCCCAGGGAGCTCTGGTGGAGCTGGGTGGTCCGTCTGGGGTACAGGCCTCTGAGGGGCTGCTGGGGCAGGGGGCTCAGTCCAAGGCCAGAGCCCAGCTGGATGGCAGGGCTAGGTGTGTCCTGGAGTCTCTCCAGGAAAGGGCCCCACCCAGAGGTTCCCAAGACCTCAGGCAGGACGCTGAGAAACTGGAGACTGAGGCCCCCTGTTTCTCTCAGGTGTTGCTCTGGGAACAGCAGCGACTGGCCGGGCGGCTCCACCCGGGAAGCACCGGGGACTCTCTGCTGCTTCCTCTGGCTCAGGGCGGACACCGGCCCCTGTCCAGGACTCAGTCTTCCCCAGCCGCGTCTGCCTCACTGTCAACCTCAGAGCCTGCCAGCCAGGCCCGCGTCCTCTCCAGCTCAGAGACCCCTGCCGGGACCCCACGCTTCACCACAGGTGAGAATGGGATGACAGCGGAGGCAGGAGGGGGAGGCTCGGCTGCACGAGCCCATGTCTGTGTCGTGGTACTGAGGACATTTTAGACCCACAGAGCACTTAGTCTTGTTCGAGCCACACAGTGCCCGTGAGGCCGGTGGAGCAGGTGGTGATTCTGTTGGCCATTGAGGAGACCAAGGCTTGGGAAATCTAAGGTGACGAGTTTGTGGGCAGACGGCAAGTGCCAGTCAGGCCAGGATAAGAATTTCAATCTCCTGCCAACGCATTCAGCCCATTTTTGAAATGACATTTATTACTGTAGCTCTGTTGTAGAAAGAGCTCAGAATTATTTTAGAAAGTTTGAAAAGTACAGAAAAGCATAAAAATAAAATAAAAATCACCAACCAGTATCCCACCACCCAGAGGTAACCCCTCTTAAATTCTGCCATAGTTCAGTCCCGTCTTTGTTCTAGCCACATGTACGTGTGCGGATGCCGTCAACACATGAACTATGTTTCGTACCCTGCGTTCTTTGATTAACATGTTATGAATGCTTTTTGACACATTAATTGTAAAACTGAGAGTCTCATAGTATTTTATTTTTATTCGGTGATTTCTTAGTGGTTGGACATTTAGATTATTGCTCATTTTATTTTCCTGATGCATAAATCTTCACTCATGCTTGGCATTATTTCCCAGCGTTCACTCTTGGGGAGTGGCATCCCTGGGAAAAATGGTGTGAGCAGTTTGAAGGTCCTTGGTGTCCTGAGATCCACAGGAACTCATCCTCCCACCAGCACTGTGCAGGGCCTCCCCTATAGTCTTCCCACAGGTCAGACTGAAAGAGTCACTTCTCCAAAGCTGTATTTGTCTTATCACATGACCCGGTGTCGTTGTGGGCTTCCTAGCTCCCGGTTTTGGGTTTTCCTAGGAATTCTTTCCCCTCTGCTGCCCCTTGGTAGCCTCTTTGGGGTCATGACAGCCAGTGTGAGACTCCTGGCAGCAGGCCTTGTTGTGCATAGGCTCTGAGCACTTGAGGGCCTGGTGACGTGTTGGGCCGTGTGAGCAGTCAGGTCAGCGTGGCAGGGAGGCAGTGGCTCTGTGGCCGCTGTGTTGGCTGGCGCTGTGTTGGTGTGTTGTCTGAGGCCACCTGGGGAAGCGTCAGGGTGTGCAGATGGGTGTGACGGGCTGGGGTGGGGATGGGGGCAAGAATGTGTGGGTGTGCGGGGGTTGTGCCCTGCCTGGCTCTGTGGGGGCCGTGGCCATGGAGGTGGAGGAGGAGGCCTTGGGGTGCTGGTCCTGACCCCCGCTCCCGCAGGGCTGGTCTATGACTCAGCGATGCTGAAGCACCAGTGCTCCTGCGGGGACAACAGCAGGCACCCAGAGCACGCCGGCCGTATCCAGAGCATCTGGTCCCGGCTGCAGGAGCGGGGGCTCCGGAGCCAGTGTGAGGTGAGGAGGCGGAGGAGGTAAGGGCAGTGGGAGCGATGGGGTCGGAGGGCCTGGGGCCAGCGAGAGATGAGGGGCAGCTGGGGCGGTGGCAATAGGAGGGGGTGGGCAAGAGCTGAGGAGCTCTGTGGGCCCTTCCTCAGTGTGTCCGGGGCCGGAAAGCCAACCTGGAGGAGCTGCAGTTGGTTCACTCTGAGCGGCATGTGCTCCTCTACGGCACCAACCCGCTCAGCCGCCTCAAACTGGACAACGGGAAGCTGGCAGGTAGGGGCTTGGTGGCGCCCAGGCCCCGGGTCTCACCTGGCCCCTGTGCTCTCGTCCCCGCTGGCCGTCCTGCAGCCTCCTGGACATCCCTGCTCCAGCTTGCCTTGCTGGCCCCTCGGCTGCCCACCCCCACCTCTCCCTGCACTGTTTCTCTCCTGCACACCCGCCCAGCCCTTGTCAGGGCCCCCCTGCTCCTGGCCGGGCCGAAGGCTGAGAGCATTCACACTCACGTGGGCCCGGCCTCTCCCCACAGGGCTCCTGGCACAGCGGATGTTTGTGATGCTGCCCTGTGGTGGGGTTGGGGTAAGTGTGCCCAGGGTCTCGAGCGGGCATTGCCAAAGGCTCTCGGATCTCCCTCCCCACCTCGGTTCTCCCAGGCCCAGCCCCTGCCTGCTTGTTCTTGTGGTTCTTCCGGGCCGGGTGGACAGGGACTTCCCCATGACGCCCTCTGCAGGCTGGAAGCTCCCCAGGGCAAGGGATATCCTAGCCCATCGGTGTCTTCCCAGCATGGAGCCCAGTCTAGGTTTGCACTGAGAAGGTGTTTGGTGGACGTCGAGTGAGGCTTAAAGAGCAGGGCCAAGACTGGGGCTGCGGTCATCTCCCTTCCTGAGACCCCAGTGGCTGGGTCTTGGCCATTCCATGGCAGAGTGAGGCTGGTCTCCAGACCAGGGACTGCCTGTCGTGGGGCCATGGGGTGTTCCTGGTGTCCTTGGCGACCCAGGCACTTCTCTACCCCAGGACGCAGTCCCCTGACCCCCAGCTTTGCTCGCCCGTCACCTGTTGGAGGGGCTTCCTGCCCCCTCTGGCTCGGCTCTCCTCACCTAGAAATGTCCCTGCAGTGGTTTCTCAAGCGAGGTGTGTGGAGGCAGGGGATGGAGGCTTCGCTCTGAGGGAAAGTGGGAGCTGTAGCTGGTGGGGGGCTGTTTGGGAGCCAGTCAGCGCCCTGTTCACAACTTCCCATTTCTTGCCACTTTCTGATTTTTCCAACTGTTGTTGCTTCTGTTTTCTCCTCCCTCCTCTCCCTCTCTGTCTTTCTCTCTTTCTCTCTTTCTCCAGCCTCTTGCGACTCTCTCTGCCTTCCTCGCCTCTCTTGGTCTGCCTCGCCCTCCCCATCTCCCCATCATGCCCCCCTTGAGGCCCAGGGGCTGGGTTTGGGGGGCCTGCCAGCCTGGGCTAGGGGCCCTGAGTGGAAGACAGTGGTGCAGACGGCCCCTCCAGCTCCGACCGTCCCGCAGGGCCTGAGCAGAGTCAGCTGGGGCTTAAAACCCCCTCCCGGCCCAAACCCCAAGTCCCGCCCAGGTAACGCTATGCCCCCTCCCCTGACCAGGGAGGCAGGTGCGATGCTGCCAGCAGAGTGCTGGCCAGATATGGGCTGGTTCTGGGACTTAAGCTGGGAAGGAGAAGTTGTGCTGGGATTGGGGACACAGGAGGCCTTGCCTTTGGGCGGTGGGGCACTGGGGAGGCAGCACTGTCTGCCCAGCTCCCTGCCCCTGGGGTCCTGGCCTTTGGGTGGGGATTGCCCCATTGGGCCCTGGCTCCTGTGCGAAGCCTTGGATGATGCGGGCCCTGACTCTGGCTCCCACAGGTGGATACTGACACCATCTGGAACGAGCTGCATTCTTCCAATGCAGCCCGCTGGGCCGCTGGCAGTGTCACTGAACTCGCCTTCAAAGTGGCTTCCCGTGAGCTGAAGGTAGGAAGTTTGGCTTGAGGTGGGCCCACCACGGGGGAGGCAACAGGGTGGAACAGTAGCGAATCCAGGCCCAGGACCCCAGATATCTTGTTCCTCTTGGATATTGCCACATGGTTTTGGAAGGGAAATCGAAGGCTCTAGGGACCAGGTGGAGACTTCAACCGTAGGCTCATGTTACTTGGCAGGGAGGCAAGCCACTGTGACCTCTGGTCTCTAGGAGACACAGGGTTCTGATCATCCAGGATCATTTAAGGCCCACTTCGTGGCTATAGGCAAGTCTTGGGATGTCACTGGACCTCCAGTGCTGAGGTCATGTAGACTGGGTTGGTGCCCATGCTTTCTGCTCTGGGCTGTGCATCTTATGGGACTTGTCCTGCGGCCCACACCCCGGTTGTCTAGGAGCGTATAGCCCAAGGCAGTCACAGTGTCCTCAGTGTCAGAGGACCTCAGTGGAGCTGGAAAGCATGGCTCTACCATTCACAACCAGACAACCTCAGATAAGTTGCTTAACTCGCCTGAGCTTCAGACTTCTAATCTGTGGACTGGAGATGATAATGTGTGTCTGATGAAGATGTTGTACGAAGGATTAGGTAACGTTGACCTCACAGAGATGCTGTGAGGATGAAGTCCAGCGTTTATGAAGCGTTTAGCACAGTGCCAGGAGCATCGTTTTTGCTTGATAGTCAGTAGCAGTTGTCATTGCCAAGTGATAATAGCCGGGACACCCCAGGAGGAGGGGCTCTGTGTTCACGTGCAGCCTGCGAACAGAGGGCCTGCAGCATGAGGGTCGGGCTCTGGGCCACTTCAGCTCCAGCCCGGACAGGGTCAGACATGCTGGCGGCTGATGCCCTGTCGCTCCTTCTCAGAGGAAGAGGCTGGGGCTGGGGGACTGGTACGTGCAGATGAGGGTCAGAGCACTGGCCATTTGGTTGACAAGCATTCTTTCTCTTTCCAGAATGGTTTTGCTGTGGTGCGGCCCCCGGGACACCATGCAGATCATTCCACAGCCATGTAAGGCCTGGGGGAGGCCTAGGTGGGATGAGGTGGGGGGCAGGCCTCCAGGGTCTTCCTGTAAGGACATTCCCCTCCTTCCCTGAGCCTTCTGGGGCTGGGCCGAGCCAGAGGCTGGGGGAGAGAAGGGGCTGGAGAGGTGGGGTCGTGGGGAGGGAAAGGGCCAGCAGGACCTCTCTCTCCTCCACCCAGGGGTTTCTGCTTCTTCAACTCTGTGGCCATCGCCTGCCGGCAGCTGCAACAGCAGAGCAAGGCCAGCAAGATCCTCATTGTGGACTGGGTAGGTGCCTGTCCTTGCACCTCAGATCCGAGAGTCCTGTGGAGAGAGCCCGCAGCCTGGCGTTAGAGATATGGTTCCATGTCTTAGTTCTGTGCTAGCCTCCCTGAGCCTCAGTTTCCCCTTGTGTAAAATTCCGATGAAAATAACACTCATGTCACAGGGCTGTTGGGAGGCCCAGAGGACATGGTGTGTGGGAAGGCCTTCAGCCAGAGTGAACTCCCACAGCGGGTAGGCGTTTGCATTTGAGTGTTGTCTCTTGACCTCTGTTGGCTTCTTTTGGCAGATCTAATTATGTCTGCATTTCCCCTACAGGTAGTTATGATAAGAATAATAGCAAATCATATCAGTATACCACTACTCACATCCAGACACCGATGGTTTTTATAGAGATGGGTTTAATCCGGACTACAACCCATTTTACAAATGAGGAAAGTGAGCACAGAACAAAATTAAGTGACTTGTACACACTCACTCACCTCATAAGCTGTGAGATGGATCTGAACCCAGGCCGGTTAGCTGTAGAGTGCACGTATTTAACTACTAAGCTATGTCCCTTCTGCACTGATGGCTGTGAAAGGGACACGGCAAAGCAGAAGTTGAAAACTGGGGAGGAACTTTGCACACTTGAGCCCATGCGTGGCCTTGTGAGTCGAGTGTAGGCTCAGCTCTTCCTAGGAGGGATGGGGCCGAGCCAGGGACCTGCCCCTCCGTAACTGAGCTCAGTTTCTGTTCATGCCTTCATGCAGGACATGGTGGCGAGGGTTCCCGATGTGTGTAATCCTGGTCTCTTCCCGCTCCCTGCCACTAATCCCCCACTCCACATGCTTTCTCTCATGTGGGCCGGCCTGCTGTGGCTGCCTCCTCAGAGATGAAGATGCCTCCCTTAGGATTTCATACTATAGCCAGCTCCACCCACCATGTTTCTCTCTGTCCCTATAGAGAGTGACAGGGAGGGAGAGATCCTCCATATGGAGAGACTGAGGCTCAGAGCTGGGCAGTGGGTTACTTGGGGCCACTGATCCATATGGCTCTAGGAACCCCAGTTTCCTGACCCCCAGTCTAGGGTCCTGACCCTCAGAATGGCTACTGACCTTGAAACCCTTCTAACCGTCCTGGTCCCCATCTCTCTGCTTTCGCGTCTTCCCTAATCCACTGCCCATCTCCCTATGCAGGATGTTCACCATGGCAACGGCACCCAGCAAACCTTCTACCAAGACCCCAGTGTGCTCTACATCTCCCTGCATCGCCATGACGATGGCAACTTCTTCCCAGGCAGCGGGGCTGTGGATGAGGTGACCACACGGTGGGGCCATATCCTCCCACCTTGTTGACTCTCCTCCTGGCACTTGATCTGCTTCTGTCACCATGAGCTGTGTGGCCCTGAGCAGATCGTTTGGCCTCCCTGATCCTCGGCTTCCCCATTTGGAAGTGAGGAGGCTGATGGACTGGTCTGGCAGCGCTAGCGTCTGGGTTTCCTCTCCCGGGGCTCTGCTCTCCTCATGCCTCCCTTGCGTCTGTTTCCCAGGTAGGGGCTGGAAGCGGTGAGGGCTTCAATGTCAATGTGGCCTGGGCTGGCGGTCTGGACCCCCCCATGGGGGATCCTGAGTACCTGGCTGCCTTCAGGTAAGTGCTCAGGGGCCCCCAGAGGAGCAAGGCCACCCTCTCCTGGCCCTTTCCCAATAGCACCAGGTTGGAGGCGATCAAATGGATTGTCACCCTGTCCCCACTGGTTACTAGACATTGTAGGCAAACTCAAGTGGAAAGATAGAACACACACAGAAGTCAAAGGGTGCTGTATAAAGTCCCACATTACCAAGAGCCAATGTCAGACTGAACGCCGGCAGACAGGCAGGGTGGAGTGAGCAGAGCTGCCACACTTAGAGAAGGCTGCCTGGAGGAGGTGGGCTTTGAGCAGGAGAGGAGAAACTTAAATTGGGGAGGAAGAGGAAAAGCAGAGGATGTCCATGTTGGGGGAGTACCTTAAGAAAAGCTGTTCTGGATCTGGGAGAGGGGCTTAGGCTCCGTTCACGCTGGGGGCCCTGCGCTCCATGTAGGAAATGAGAACCCTGGAAGTAGACCTCCAAACTTTTCTGTAGGTATTCTCCATGAGAGCTAATTCTGCAGGAGCCCTGGGCGGGAGTTCCTGGTGTCTGTGGCAAGAGCCCAGGGCTTTGAAGAACATGAAAATGGACCTCGGAGTTCGGTCAGGGCTAGAGGGAGGCAGCTGTGGGGGGCCGGCAGAGGAGGGGATGAGAGAATGGAGCTAGTGGCCCAGGACCTCAGAGGGTCTAGTTGCCCTGGTCAGCACTCAGGTATGGAGTAGCTGAGTGCCACAGTGCCACAGTGCCCAGTCACTCAGTCCACAGTGCCCAGCGTTTGCAGTCCCTGGGCCAGTCCCCAGCCATTCCGCCGGCTGTGAGATTGCCCCTTCTCTGTGGCCCTGCTCACTGCACTCACAGATACACACACACTCCTCCTTCATTCCCTGGGGGGCTGAGTCCTCAGGCTGTGTGCCAGGGACACGAGTGGCCAGCCAAAGTCAAGGAGGCAGAGGACCTGCTAATCCTGCTGGGGGACTGCGTGTCCTGGAGCCCTAAGAGCAGGGCACCCCACAGCAAAGTTGGCAGGGCCCTGGCCTCTGCCCCCAGCAGCGCTGTGCAGTGTGGTGACCCCGCTTCTCCTTGCAACCTCACAGGACAGTTGTCATGCCCATCGCCCGAGAGTTCTCTCCAGACCTGGTCCTAGTGTCAGCTGGGTTTGACGCTGCCGAGGGTCACCCAGCCCCGCTGGGTGGCTACCACGTTTCTGCCAAATGTAAGGGGGCCCCAGCTGAGGAGGAGGTGTAGGGATGGAGAGCCAGGCTGTGGGGGGTGAGGAGGCACCGCCCAAGTCTAAAGGGGACAGCAGCAGTGGCTGGCCCAGGGCTGTGAGCCTGAGGACTGCAGTATGGCAGCTGGCCCTGGGATTCCCTGGGATCTCCTAGCCTAGCACCGCCCAGGCCCTTTCTGGGACCCAGGCCTGTTCACCAGAGAGGGCTTGACCAGGTCACACCCCTGGGAACTTAAGTCTGACACACAGAAAGCTCAGCCATAGAACTGCCCAGCCCAACTGTGCTGTTTGCAGGCGGGGCTGGCAGCTCCTCCACAGGGAGGATGGGAGGAGCTGCGTCCTCAGAACAGAGGGTGCCCCTCAGCACCCTGGGCCACAGGGCCTAGAGGACAGAAAGAGGAGATGGTGTGGCTCCGTGAAAAAGACTCAGGCTGGAGTCGATGCCCACAGTTCAAGTCCTAGCCCTGCTGCCACTTACTAGCTGTGGGGCCTTTCTCAAGTCCCTTAACTTCTCTGAGCCTTGTGCGGGATTCGATGTGAAAGCCCTTGGGAAACTAGCGACTTACGCATTTCAGTCATTATCTACAAGGGAGGAAGCAAGCAGGGAGACAGGGGTAGAGAATGGGTCACCACTCCTCCATCGCCGTCCCCTCCAATCCCCCCCACCCGACCGTCTAGGTTTTGGGTACATGACACAGCAGCTGATGAACCTGGCAGGAGGTGCAGTGGTGCTGGCCTTGGAGGGCGGCCATGACCTCACAGCCATCTGTGATGCCTCTGAGGCCTGTGTGGCTGCTTTGCTGGGCAACAAGGTAAGCTCTCCCCCACCCCCATCCATGCTTCTGTGGGGCAGGTGAGCCCTGCTCCCCAGGACTGCCCAAAGAGCAGGCAGATGGGATGGGACAGGGCAGGAGTGGCCAGGTCTGAAATGAGGTAGGCAAAGTGGATGTCTCTTCCCTAAGGCTGGTCTAGGGCCAGCACCTCCTGACCTAGGCAGAGCCAGCACCTGTGCCTATTTGTACCCAGAAGGCTGGAGCCCTTGGGGTGGGAGAGAGCTGGGCCTGTGAGTCCCTGAGAGACTGGTGGCTGATGTAGTGTTTTCTGTAGGTGGATCCCCTTTCAGAAGAAGGCTGGAAACAGAAACCCAACCTCAATGCCATCCGATCCTTGGAAGCCGTGATCCGGGCGCACAGTAAGTGTGGAGATAGGACAGTCACTGAGCTCAGACTTGAAAGAAACTCAAAGATCTGCTGTCCCCAGTGGCCAGAGTTCCAGGGCTTCCAGTGCCAACCGGGTGACCTGCTGTTGGTCTGTAGTAAGATTCCTGAGTCACCCAGCAGTAATGGTGGGCAGCCCCCCGTGAGTAGGCACCTCCAAGCCCTCCAGATAGACACAGCAGGGACCACCAGACAGTGGCCTCCTCAAGGCAGGGACTGGCCTCCCCTCTCTAGCCACATCCCTAGGCCAGGGCCAGGCCGATGCAGCACTCAGGCCTTGTTTTCCAGAGGCCGCGTTGCCGCCCCTCCCCCCAGTCGTGGCCACGGAAGCCTTGGGACCTCTGCCTGCTTGGGGGCCCGGTCTCAGAATAACCCCCACATTTGGAAAGAACTTCAAGTTTTCAGCTTCAACTCAACATGTGTTGAGTACTTTATGTAAAGACCCAGAACTTATTCTAGGGACATAAAAACGAATAAAACAGAGTCCCCACACAAGGGCTGGGTAAAGGAAGTGTGCATAATGGCAGAGACACTGCTGGTTCTTTCGGTGGAGGCCTCACGCCGGCCAGGTTGTGTGCTGGGCGTGCTCCCTGTGCATCAGCCTTCACAACACTGCCATGGCCTGGATGGGGCGGTGGCAGCCCGAAGGCCGCACAGAGTGGCCGTGGGATGGTCAGCTCTCCCAGCGCTGTATTCTTCCCACCTCCCACGCTCTCCTTCCCTGGGTGCCGGGCGGAGCACTGGTGGAGGCAGCATGAATGGGACCCTGTGCTGCAGGACGCCACGGCTTGGGGATCTGTGAGGTCACTCTGACACAGACCCCGTATGCAGGAAAGTGGGTCCTCCCCGTGCTCTCAGGAACCCACACCTAGGACAAGGGGTCCAATGTAGCCTTTCAGCCACAGGGCATGAGAGAAAGGCCTGCGCTGCTAGGACCCCCTCAGAGCCAAGTGGAACCTGCTGTGCTCACCCTGTCAGGGCTGGGCGGGGAGGGGTGTGACTGGGGGTGAGGGGCAGGTGGGAGAGCTGACCCCAAGCTGAGGATGGGCCTGCTGCTCTTGGGCCCTGGGCCTGAGACGCCTGTGTCTGGTCTAGGGTGCAGCGTGGAGGGGCTTGCCTTCCCCAGCCCTTTCTCACCAGCTTCTCACCCCAGGTAAATACTGGGGCTGCATGCAGCGCCTGGCCTCCTGTCCAGACTCCTGGGTGCCCCGGGGGCCAGGGGCCGACGCAGAAGAAGTGGAGGCAGTGACCGCGCTGGCATCCCTCTCTGTAGGCATCCTGGCTGAAGACAGGTAATGCCAGACCCCTGACCCTGGGCCCTCTCCACCCCTCTGATCCTCCCTACTGGAAGACCCCAAATCCCCAGTGCAGCTACCCCCGCCTTCTCAGGCTTCCTGACCAGGGCTGGGAGGGAAGCTCAGCTGCAGCCCTTCCTGCAGCCCCTGGCCCTCCGGCATCCCACCCTTGTCCCTCCCTCCAGGTCCTCAGAGCAGCTGGTGGAGGAGGAGGAACCAATGAATCTCTAAGGCTTTGGAACCATCTGTGCACCCACCCTGCCCTTCAGACCCGGTCCTCTTCTAATCTCTGGCAACTGCCCCCCTTCCTGGGTCTTCAGAGATCCTGAAGGCAGGTGGTCTGGGCCAGAGAACAGCCTGCCTGCCTTGACAGTCACCCCAGGGAGTCTGAGAGGGCCCCTGGGTCTAGGACAGGACCAGAGAGGACCCTGAGAGGAGTTTGGGCAGCCAGGCCCCAGCAGGGCTCTCTCAAGAACAGATTCTACCCCTTTGGTGTCCCGGCCCCAAACGGTGGCCCACGTTCCTCAGGACTGCATGGAGGAGGACTGGCTCGGTTGGGCCCACACTTAACCACTATTTTTGGCTCTGCAGACCCCAGACTTTGCACACAGCCCCAGGCTCCACACAGAAATGTGAACTTGGCCTCAGCCAGGGTGGCCCTTCCTAGGCTCTGTGGGCTGGAGGTAGGCAGGGAGCCAAGAGGTCCTGTATCCCTGAATGCAGGGGGGTCCCCTCCTCTCACCTGCTTCCTCGGATGACTCTGGAAGCTTCCCTGCAACACTGGGCACTGAGACGAAGCTCCCCCTGAGAACAGTTGTCAGCAGACCTCCATCTGGTCCCTGCCCCCCGCCGGAGGCCGCCCTGCATTGACCATCTCAGTGCCCTGGTGGGGCAGACAGGTGCTCTTGGAGTCCTGTGCTTCCTGATCCAATGGTGCCAAACCCTTCATCTCCCCTCAGAAGCACAGCATGACCCCCAGGGACCCCCCAGATGCTGCCCACTCCATGAGCCTTATTTCTGGGGTCTCCCCCAGCTCTCACTCCTGTCCTACATAGGACTAGCCTGGCTGTGGGGGAGGAGTGGGAGAGTGGACACAAGACGTGGGGAGGGGAGGCTTCCCTGGCAAAGTCTTCAAGGCTTTTGGGGTCCAGGCCTGGGGCCAAGAAGGAAAGCGTTTGTGTGTGAGCGTGTGCGAGTGGGGAGTGTACGTGTGCGTGTGCGTGTCTTCCCCAGGACCCACCATACCCTGTGTATGTATGCATGTTTTTGTAAAAAAGAAGGAAAAAAGGAAAAAAAATGGAAAAAATCTGAATAAATGTTTTATTTGCTTTAAAAGTGCCTATGAAAGGGCCTGTGCTGTCGTGTGGGCGTGTACATGGACACACAGCTGCACCGCGCAGCACGCGTCCGACTCGGAGCTGAGAGCAAGGGATGAGCCGGGGCTGGGCCGCAGCTGCTCTCTTGCTCCTTGCTCTTCTGCGGCTGCTGCCCTGCAGGAAGAACCCATTCTGAACACACCACAGCTGTCCCTGCCTGCCCCACCGTGGGGTGATAAGGAGGCGGCCCTGGGCTGAGTCCACACACACAGGGCCCAGCCCTGGGATGGGGGAGGCAGGAATACAGGTGCTCAGCCACAGCGAGTCATGAATCAGACACCCCTGGGTTCAAGTCCCAGCTGGGAATTCAGGTAAGTCCCATCACCTTCTGAGGCCTCTGTTTATCAGCAAAAGGCTCCGGAAATAGATATTGTTTACAGTTCCTTCTGCTCTCATGTGCCATGACTTCTTAAGCATATACTGAGCCTAGAAGAGAGAATGGGCGAGGCAACAGGCCCGGGCAAGCTCAGCCGGTATAAGCAGAGAGGAAGGCGCCAGGGCTGCCAGCACCTGCCTTTGCGGTTCTGAGTCTGCCAGGCTTTTCCAGCAGGAAGAGCAGCACCTTGTTACCTTAGACCTGGCCCTGAGCCCTCAGCAGCCTGGCAGGGTGTGAAGGGAAGAGGTGCTCGTCCCTTTCCCATCTGACCTGGCCTCTCCTGTGATGGACACCAGATCCCAGGGGGGTTGCTGAGGCTGTGTGTGTGGGCATCCTCGCCCTTGCTGGGGGCATGCTGAGAGCTGAGAGAGCACAGCTGAGCTGCTGGTTCCCCACAACTTGGACTAGGGAAATGGTTTAATCCGATAGAGAACTATTACCACCCTCCGCCCCGCCCACCCCTCCTAGTCCATCCTCCCTCCTAATTCCCTCCCCACAAGTAACCACCAGAGGCTGTCTGATACAAATGGCTGCTGTATTTCCGCTAAAGTGACAGTGACACAGATAAGGCAAAGAGCTGAGGGGCAGGACACATCGTGGGTCTGTGGGAGAGGGGTAGACCGTGCAAAATGGCAACATAACATAAAAAGATCTAGGTAACAACAGGCCCCTCCCTCCTGAGTTAGGTGAGCCCGTGGGCCAGTGTATGGGCAGAAAAGCAGATTTAGTCCTTCAGAAGGGAGATTTAAAAAGATAAAAGCTCTAGTTGAAGGGCAGTGAGCAGGGGCTGGAGTGGGAGAGAAGGTACCTCATGGCCGGGGGGCTGGGTGCAATGGCACTCTGAGGAGGCAGAGTGGAAATGCAGGGTGGGGGGTACACGGTACAGGTTTGGGGGGCTCCTTCTAGCCTATACCATGTTGCCCCCTTCCCCAAAGCCCTTCAGGGGGCAGGAGCACATTCCCCATGACCCTTAGTCTGGCCTTGTTGGGGGAGTCCTGTGCTGGGGTATGGGGATGCCTCTGTATGTTGGGGGTGGCAGGGAGAGGCTGATGGCTTCTGGCTCTAGCACACTCATGGGAGACCAGCTCAGGGTGAGAGGGTAGGAGGAGGGACACTGAACTCTCCACTCAGCTCCTTAGGCCTTGGGGATAAGAGCCCAATGTCGCCATCTCTGGGACTGATCTGCCCCCAGGCGTAGGTCAAGGCCTCATGGTCCTACCCCTTGACCCGCAAAGATTCCTCACTGAGTGCTAAGAAAACACCCATTCGAGAAGGTGTAAAGCTGCCCTCCAGCCAGGCCGATGAGGAGCAATGTTCTCCACCACACCCAGGTCTCCCCCAACAGGACAGGCAGGATAGCTTTCTGGGAGACCACACTCGTCCTGCTGTGCGCTCTCTGCCACAGTTCTGGGTTCCCAAGGGGGTGGGATCAGGCCCTCCCAATGTCTCAAGAGACTGAGTCCAGGTCCTGAGGACCCCCAGGGTGCAGAGACTTCACCCCTGGGTCAGAAATCGCTGAGGATGCTGATGTCTGCGAAGTCAGCCCGGTAGCGGTGGGCGTAAAGGCTGAGCAGAAAGGCCCACTTGAAGGAAATGAAGCTCCAGACGCTGGAGAGGTAGTAGCTGGTGGGGTCTGTGAGGCCTGCAGGGAGAGAGCCGGACAGTGACTCGAGAGGGCCCCGCCCTCAGCCCCAGCGCCATGCCACAAGGCCAGGGCCACCTTCCTCATCCTGCTCAACATCCTGGCAGCTGAATGGACCCCACAGAAAGACCTGAGTGTGATAGAGGTTTCAGAGCATTCCAGGGGTTGCAGGCAGGAGGCAGTGGGGGTTAGGGAATGGCAGGGCTGGCCAAGCACAGGTCTGTATCATCCACTCTGTTTTTGTGACACGCACCCCAGGCCATTGGCAACCTGCTTTAGTTAGCATCAGACTGCCCGCGGGCAGGCAGAAGGGCCTCTGGATACTTCCTGCCACCGCCACCAGAGGGCGCCCCCACCCCGATGAGACTGAGCGCTACCAATAGCTACTGCGCATGGGCAGTGCTCAACACTTCCCACAGTCTCTTCGAACACCCCCATCGCTAGGGGTGGGGGCTCATTCTCCCCACTTTCACGATAAGATTACCCACGCTCAGGAAGGCTAAGTGGTCTACCCAGTCCCTTGGCCATGAGCTGCGGAACCAGGACCGGAATCCCAGGATCTATTCCTAAGCCCCCCGCTCCCCCTCCCACGCCTCTTCCCCGGGAAGGCACTCACTCTGGTGCCAGGTGATGGCCAGCACCAGGAAGGTGCAGAAGGCGGCGACGGAGACGGCCGAGAAGAGGACACCCACGAAGAAGAAGCCGCGCAACCCCTTGAGCCAGGTCCTCCAGTAATCCTGCATGTACATCACGTGCGTCACCAGAACCCACAGCGCCAGCACACCTGCGGGAAAGACTGGGTCAGCGACCCGCCTGCCAGCCACGCTGCAGCCCCAGGGCCTCGGGCATCCCCAGGGCCCTTTGGGTCCACTAGGCCTGGCCTATCTGCATAAGAATACTAAGAATACTGGCCTTCCTCACTGGTTCCCTCGTGACTGCAGAGTGCAGGTTCCCGTGGAGCTGGACAGGGCCTGTGGTATCACCAGGACTTAGATGCAGAAGCAGATAAGAGGCTAGCTGCCTGCTAGCAAGCCAGACATTAAAGAGATTTGCAAAAATAGAAAACCCTGCATTCTTCTCCCTGATTGTTTTTGTTTGGAAAACATGAATATCTCTCACGAAAATGTTATTTATGTTGTTAACTCAATATTATTTTTAGTATTACTTTCAAGTGTTGAAAAGTGTTCTCAGTTTTAACTTCTAATGTGGTACATGTCCATAGATATAACCCATGTACACAAAATTTGCTTTGAGTTTCACTACTTTTCAAGAGCATAAAGGGGTCCTGAAATCAGAAAATTTGAGAACCTCAGCAGCCCAGCCTGCTTTATGGGGACTTCCCATTGTCCACCCTGTCCTGGGGCTGTCCTCCCACCCCACGCTTCCTCCACCTGGCCGTTGGAGGCCACAACCTCCAAGTTTCAAGGCCTGTAGCAGGGCTCTTACGTAGCAGGGCTCTTCCCAAACTCCCTACATTGGTCTTGGAGGGTGAGGAGGCCCAGCCATGAGGACACCAGGGCCACCCAGCACTGAAGAAGCCTTCTTGCTATTAGCCAGACCTCATGCCACTCCCTCTAGTTTGCAGCTCAGGGCAAGCCAACACCCCCAGCCTTTCCTGGGCCTGCCCTCTGGGCCTGGGTGTGCACTTCCCCTAGGATGCCAGCTGCCACTCAGCCAATACAATACAATACAAAACAACCCTCTGTGCCAGGCAGTGCCTGCTGGCACAGTCCAAAGAGTGGAGCGAATATCAATTCCATTGGCAAGGGTCCGGACTGGGCCGTGGGGTCCCAGCAAGGGAGGAATGAGGAAAGTGGCAGAGCCAGCTGCAACCTCTCCACCTGCTGGCCTGCAGGGTGTGGGCCATATAGGCTGCTGTGCCCTAGGAGTCACGAGGCTTCTCCAAAAGGGGGTGGCACACACTGCACGCATCACAGCCTCCCAAACATGCAAGGAAGGATGAGCATCTGGCCAGGGAAAGTGGTTATCTCTGGCAATGGAGATGAGGAAGGGAAGTTGATAGGGAGGTGGAGTGGGGAGTGCTTTGACTGAATGTATGCTATTTTATTTCTTAGGCTAGGTAGTGAATATAAGGGATTTTGTTAAATTGTCTACTCTTTTTTTACATGCCTGAAATATTTCATAATTTTTTTAAAAGTGAAGGGGAAAAAAAAGGCAAGGGGAAGCTAGTTATCATGGAGCTATACTCTGGATACCAGCTCAGAAGCTGTCGCAATTCCGGTAGCCTGGTGAGGGACAAAAATCCACGAGCCTGCAAGCCAGGAAACCTGAGGCCCTGTGCTGGCGTGCCCCAGAGTCCTGGTGTTTCTCACATCTAAAAATGGGTGAGCCCAGAGGTCCTGCCAGTCTGGATAATCAGGGGCCCTGGAGCTCCACTCTGGGGAGAGCAGAGGTCCACCACCCCGCAGCCTCCCCTCCCACACACTCTCCCAGCTCTGCCCCTGGCCACCATCCTCAGGGTTTGGGGGCCTGGAAAGTGGGTCCCCTTACCCCTGAGATTAGGGATAAGCATCTCTCCATCCTTGCCTAGTCAGGCAGCTGGAGCAGGCTTGCAGTGGACAGAATATAATCCCACGGCTTCTGCTTACATCCTATGTGATCTGGATTTTATACCGGACACTGTCCTCAAAAGTCCCACTTCTCTCACATCATCCTAAGTTTTCACTTGAGGGAGATGTTTGGCTTCTTAAAGGGCCCTAGGGACGAGCTTGTTGTCACTGAGCACATTCAAGGAACAGTCAAACGGGCACCTGTCTGGGACAGGTCCACTCGCCCTCTGTCTCCTCACGCCACAGAGGGGCTGGAGAAGTTGAGCTCCAAGATCGTTTCCCACTTGAAGATTCTGGAAGCCAGCTTAGGAGAAAAATAAGGAGGTCAGAGCAATTCCTCTGTGACTCAGCAATTTCTGGGTTAGGAAATGCTGAAATAGAGGCTTGTGAAGACGCCAGCTCTTAGTCCACTGGCCATGATCCAGTAGTTCCCCAAAACTCCCACCCCATGTACACGCACATACCAAAGAGGGTGAGGCCAAGAGGGAGAAGAAGATGGCCGTTTGGGGTGTTTCTAGGGCCCTGTTCTTTGTTAATAAGCAAGCATGACTTTACCCACCTCTCACCTCCCCTCAAACCTGCTCCAGGCCCTGCACACAGGCCTCACATCCAGATAAACGCACGCCTAGTCTGGAGGCAGGACCACTCCCACCACCCTGGCTCCCGCCACCCTCCTCAGAAGAGAGCTCCCTACCAGCTCTACCCAAGGGGTTCACTGAGTGAGCTGGAGCCGCTCGCTGGTCCCCTCCCACACCTCAGGCAAGAGGCAATATCCCTCGGCCCTGCACCCTTCCCTAGGATACTCCGGGACTCCAGCAAGCCTGGTCTGCACGGTTCTCAGAGGAATGGACAGATCACCAGCACCCCCTGGCTGCAAGCCCATGTCAGACCACACCCTAACTCCACCCCACCTGCTCCAAGGAGCAGGGCCCCTGCTCCACTTCTGCGCTTACAGCAGACAAGCTAAGGGCAAGGAAGGTGCAGGGCTGGGTGGTGAAAGCATCCCCAGCGGCTGGGCTGGAGGTGAGAAGACATAAGACAGCCAGGGGAGCCCCCAGGTGAAACGAAGACAAGCAGGACACTGGGCCTGGGTCGGGCCCCTCTACATGCGGGCACTCCAGCCCTCTACAGCTCATGTGGGAGGAACGCAGAGCAGTTTAGTCTCCTGGGGCAACTATTCTTTTTCTCTTTCCTTGGCCTACTAAACCTAGAGCAAGAGTCTGTTTCCCTCCAGGGCTCCCACAGCAAAGCCAGAACAGGTAGGTCCAACCCAGGCCTCCCCAGCAAAACCAACCTTTCTTCTAAGACACTTTTTCCCAGATACCCACCAGGCTGGGAGACTGTGTCCTTACCCACAAACTCTCTGCCCATTGGAACCAGGGGCTCCATGGCTGCCCTGGCCCCAGAAACCAGTGCACCCAACCAGCCCTTTCCTGGTCTAACACAGGGGGAGAAGGAGCATGCTAGGGCTACCCTCTGGTGACTCAGCAGTTTCTGGGCTGGAAAATGCCAAGTCAGAAGTGAGGTGCTCACAAGTCAGTAAATCCGCTGACACTTCACCCCCAAAAAGGGGAAGAAGGCTGACTGGCTACAGACTCTCTCAGAACTCACTCGGGGTGGGGAAGGTGCATGGCCCTGGCCTGGCGATCCCCTCCCCACCACCATGCACCACCGCCACCATCTACCACCAAGCAGTTTTGGCTCTTCCGTGGCCACCGTCAAAGGTCAAATGTCAGGTCAAATGCCAGGACCCTACTCCAAGTGGTTGCTGCCTTAGCGCCTTTCCCTGAAGGCAATGCCACAGCTCACAGCTGGCCTGCCTCAGAGGCCAAGGGAAGCCGCAGGGACGGAGAGAGGGCAGAGTTTGGGTCAGAGGGAAACCCTAGGCAACTCCCCAGAGTACAAGAAAGAAGGCCTTTTCCACAACTTTCTAACAGGCAGCTGGAGATGGAAGATTCAGGGAGTGGACAGCAGAACTGCAACATTTCAGACCTGGAGGGAAGTCAGATAGCTAGTTCGGGGGAATCTCCCACTTCTTACAGAAGAGGAAACTGTGGCCCAGGAAGCCTTGGTATGCCCAAGGTCACAACGGCTAGGAACGGCTCACCTCAACTTCCACCAGGCCAGACTCTGAATGTACCCAAGCTGGGGTCCCAGGGATGGCCCTCCCCCACCACCTCTATAGTCCCCTTATCTCAACCATCCTGCCCTGACACCGCCTTCCAAAGGAAAGCAAGCAGCAGGGCCAACAGGATACAGAAAAGAAGCTGTAAGAAGTGAACGGTGAAGAGCATGGAAGATGGTGGGGGTGTGGGGGAAAAGGAACCAGAGCTCGTAGATAACTGGGCAGAGCTGGGCTGGCTGCCCACAGGAGGGACAGGAGCCCACGGGTGGTGGGGCAGCTTGGCAGGCTGAGAATATCCCAGTCAGGGCGCCCATCTACACTTCTGTGGTGACCCCAGCACTTTGCTTGGCACTGCTTAGACTGGGGCTACGTATGCCCCTCTTATAAGGCAGAAACCCCACCTCATGCTCTGGCTGTACCGGGGGATGGCCCTCAGCAAGCCCTGTGGCAATGAGTAAATTAGTTATTTTTAGTAATTCCATGTAGGGCTCTTTTAGTAAAGGATTTTAGTAACAGAATAAGATCATCATATGTAAAAGTATTACCCTTACATGTATTTTTTCCCCAAAGTCCTTTCCCACGCATATTATTTCATGTAGCTGTGTAACCCTGGGCAAGTTATTTATTTACTCTAAACCTTAGTTTAGAGTATCTGTAAAATGGACACAACAATAATGCCTACTTCATAGGATTAATGTAAGGATTAAATGAAATAAGGGAAGCAGATTACTTAACACAGTGCCTGAAACATAGAAAGCATTAAAAAAATGTTAGCAAGTAGAAATAATATTTTTTGTCTATCTATGGCACAGAGAGGTTAAATTGCATGCCAAAGGTGCACAGCAAGTAGGAAGCAGTGGCGCGCACCTGGCCTCCACCAGAGCGCCGGTGCCGCCCCTTCCCTCCTTGAGAAAGGTGGTCGGCGGGGCTCGGCCAAGGAGCCGCAGCAAACGGGTGGCAAAAGGCACCAACGTGGGTGGAAAGAAAATGTCCAGTGTCCATCAGATCCCCAGCGCTGTGCTCCCAGTCTCCGCCGAGGGCTCTGCTAGGGTTGTGGGTCCGCACTGGAAGGAGGCAGATGGGTTCCCCTGCCCTCTTCCTTTCCCTCACCCAGCACCCAACAAGGGGCGTTTGGGGGACGAGGATCTCCCAGAACGAGTGTGCGTGTTTGGGGGAAGGAGGTGGCCAGGGAAGCGGGCGCCGGGCGCAGGGCTGGCAGATGCGGAGCGGGGACGAAAGCCGGGCGGCTCGGCGCGCTTGTGCAAACGGCAGCGGCGGGCTCGGGCGGGCATCGGGTCCCGGGGGCTCAGGGGCATGCCCAGGAGCCCGGGCACGCGCGGGACCTGCGCTGCCAACCAGCGTTGCCAACCAGCGTTTTCGGGTAAACACCCCACCCGCTGCCCGGGGGAAGCGCCGCCCAGAAGGATCGTCCTGGAGCAGCTGACAGTGCTCTCCCCGCCGCCGCCCGCCCGAGCCGGGACCCCGCGCCCCCGCGTACCTGCGAGCCCTCCCATGGCCGCGGTCCCCGGCTGTCTGTAGACCACCGTCCAGACGAGGAAGATGGAGAAGCCGGCCAAGGAGCTGATGCCGGAGTAGGCGGCGCGGAGGCCGAGCTGCAGCCGGGACGGGGCCATGGGGCTGCGACGCCGGGCGGCCGAGAGTCACAGGTGCAGGGCCCGAGCCGCAGCCCGAGCAGCCGGCGCCCTGCGCTCCGCCCCCGCCTGGCCCCGGCGCCCTAGCCGCCGGCACAGCGCCCTCCCCGGCCGGAGGCCGCCCGCGCCCAGCGCAGGCCGCACCGCCGCTTTGCAAAGCCGGCTCGGCCGGTGCCTGCCAGCCAGGCAGAGTCCTGGGCTCGTCCCCAGACGCGCCGTGGCAGGATAGGTGGGCCTTGGCCGGGCCCGGGAATATGCCTTTATACAAACAGGCTGCGGTGATTACTTTTTAAATTTTATCTAAATCGGAGGCACATTCTCGTTTAAGATTTAAGTTTCTTGCTAAAATACATAAAAATTAGGAAATAAAAGAGTACACAGCGAATATAATTCCTTCCACGCGTCCCCTTATCAACCAGGTTCCCTCTCACCACATCCCAGAAGATTCCTCTGCACACTAATGCTTGAGAACCCCTGCGACCATCACCTTCTAACCCCAAACACCTATTCTCACCCACCGTTCCCCTTTCCTTTTATCCGCACAAGCTTCATACCTCAAGTCCCCACCAAACATCACCCCGACCCTCAGAATCAGACCATTTTAAAGCAGCGACACAATCTGTAGCAGGTGTACACTCAGCTCCACCGCGGCCCCGCTTCCTGCTGGGAGGGAAAACCTGGGCACAGCAACAGGGACTCTGCCCCAAGCTCTCAGAATCTATCAACATAATACAAGGGGAGCCCACCGCACATCTGTGCAAAGTATGTAACCAAACCTCTAGTAGTAGTTCGTTTCCTTTTGCTGTTGTAACACATTACCACAAATTTGGTCACTTAAAACAACACATTATTTTATAGTTCTGTAGGTCAGGAATCCAAATACAGGTCTCACTGGGCTAAAATTAAGGGGACATCACGGCTGCCTTGTTCCTCGAGGCTCTAGGGGAAAATCTATTTCCTTTTCCAGCTTCTAGAGAGAGGCCACCCACATGCCTTGACTTGTGGTGCTCTCTCTCCCTCTCTTCCCTTACAAGGACCTCTGTGACTGAGGACCCTACCATCCAGGATAATCATGTCAACATCCTTAACTTCATCACATCAGCAAAATCCCTTTGCCTATAAGGTGACACAGGTTCTATGGGATTAATTTGGATGGGGACGTCTTTGGGGGCCATTATTCTGTGTGCCACACCCTTCTGGAACGTAAACTCCATGAGCAGCAGGGATGGTGCCACTTTTCACACCAACACCTAGAAGAGCATGTGGCACATAATACCCCTTAATAAACATTTGTTGCATAGATGAGTGTGAATGAATGAGGGTGAGATTTAAATAACAAGAAAGGGTGTTATACACAAGGAATCTAGGCAGGGCATGATTAACTGCCCAAGCAAGGGATGTAAACCAGTGTAAACCACATTGCCTCACTCAGATAACCTCAGGAGCTTCTTTAACAATAAATAAACCAAACTCCACCCCTGCCTATTAAATTTTGAATCTTGGAAAGTGTGTGAGTGTGTGTATACACATATATATATTATTTTTTTTTTTCCTGAGACAGGGTCTTGTTCTGTTGCAGTGGCACGATCACAGATCACTGCAACCTCAAACTCCCGGGCTCATGTGATCCTCCCACCTACTGGCTCATGCCACCAAGCCTGGCTAACATTTTAATTTTCGGTAGAGATGTATTGCTATGTTGCCAAGGCTTGTCTCAAACTCCTGGGCTCAAGCAGTCTGCCTGCCCTGACCTCCCAAAGTGCTAGGATTACAAATGTGAGCCACTGCACCCAGCCCAGAGAATATATTAATATTTTAATGAGAAGTGATTTTGATGCTAGGAGATCAGCACCCAGCCCCCCCTTAGGAGCCAAGGTGGAGAGTAAGTGCTGGCCCTGCAGAGGAGGGAGCAAGCCTGTGGTCCAGAGTGTGCTGCCATGGCAGCTTCAGAGCTGGCGGGATGGGCAACATTCCAGGCAGTGGGGACAGCATATGTGACGGCCCAGAGGGGAGAAATAACATGGCAGGTTTGGGCAACTGTAAGCAGTGTGTGGCTGGACTACCAGGTTTGAGGGTGGAGTGGTGGGTTTTGAGAATAGAAAGGTTCTGCACATAAAGGTCCTTGCAGGCCCCGCTGTCCCCTCCCCATAGGGCCCAGGGAGGGAAGTAACCATTCTGTGTTTTAGAACTGTGGCGGGAGTAATAGAGCAAGAATGAGCTGCCCCTGAAAGACTAGAAGCAGACAGATGAGTTGGACAAGTACTTCACCTTCCAGTGCTTTTGTTACCAAATGGAGACCACAGTAATAACTACTTCAAAGTGTCCCGATGAGCGGTCGGTGCTTAGCAGAGTGCCAGCACACTGCAGGTACTCAATAAATGTCAGGAAGCATAATTAGCAGCAGCAGCAGACGGCTACCATGCAAGAGATGATGAGGAACCTCAGAGTTGGTTCAGGCGGAGGCAGTGAGAATAGAAAAAAGGGAACTGATTCAAGAGATATTTAAGCTATTTGAACCTAAAGGTCAGGTAGGAATTCATTAGCTGGGCGGACAGAAAGGAGGAGAGCAAAAATATTATGAGTGGACATTCTGGGAGTATTGGAGAGCAGTGAGCAAACTTGTGCTGGACAGTGAGATTGTGCAAGAAAATAATGAGAAATAATTATGTAACAGCGGCGTGGGCCCAAGTTGTTCAAGAAGCTTAAGGCCAGGCCGAAACTTTCTTAATCGCGGAAGCAATAAGGAGCTATTGAAGGGCTTTAGTCTCAGATGGGGTCAGAGGCGCAGCTTCACCATTTGCTGCTGCGACCCTGGGCAAGTGATCCTAGCTCAGAAATGCCCAATTGAACTTTCTGCCCTGAGGGAAATACCCTCTGTCTGCACTCTCCACAACGGTGGCTATGAGTCACACATGGCCACTGAATACCTGATATGTGGCTAGTGTGATTGTGGAACTGAATTTTTAATTATATTTAATTTTAATTAATTTTAACTTAAACAGCTGCACATGGCTAGTGGGTACCCTGTTAGCACAGCTAGAACATCTCAGGATCCTTATTTGCATGAAGGAAATAATGATGATACCTCACTGGCTTGTTGCAAAGATTGAGATACATTGAGATACTACAGTGAAAGCGCTCAACACAGAAATCCAACAAGCTGTTGTTACTGTTATTATTGAACAGGGGTAGCATGACTTAAGCCAGGTCTTGGGAAGATTAGTTAGACTGTAGTATCCAGGTTAGATTTGATGGGGAAATAAAACTGTAGAAGACAAAGCATTCACAAGGTTATTTCAGTGGTAAGGTGTGAGATAAGTAAGATCTTATCTGGAGAAAGGCCACAAGAATGGGAGAGAATGGAAGGACTGTGGCGCTGCAAAGCACACAGGTGTGCACCACACACACACCTTCTCACATCAGCTTCCTTTCCAAGGTATGTTCAGAGAGCACACTCCCATCCCAAACCAGGACAGGCATCACTGCCACCCCTATGAGACAGACAGCACTCTCCCTGCCTATGGCAGAGACCACTAGTGTTCACCAATACCTATGTGTCTCTTCTTCTGAGTACACGGCCTCCTAAATTTGAACTATACTTCCCAGCTTCCTTGCAGCTAAATTGATGCCATGGGATTGAGTTCTGAGCAATGGAATGAAGGCAGAAGCAATGTGTGCCATTTCCAGGCTGGACTCATAAAATCTCCCACACATCCTGCATTCCCTCCTCCCGTTCTGTGATGATGTTAGAGGGCATGTGTTGAAGGGAGCAGCACCACATGATGAGAAGAGCCTGGCAGCCTCGAGTGAATGAATGGACCAGAGCCACCGCCATCCCCCAGACCCTCACTGGACTGTAACACGAGTGAGAAATACACCTCTGCTGTGCCAAGCCACTGAGATTTGGGGGTTGTTTGTTACAGCTAACCTTATTATCTTGATACACCATCTTCATTCCATTTCAAGTCATCTAAACAGGTCCTTTATGGCTGTGGTCTCCAAGCCCCCAGGTCTCAGACCAGTACTGTTCCATGGTCTGTTAGGAGCCGGGCTGCACAGCAGGAGGTGAGCAGCAGGTGGGCAAGCGAAGCTTCAAAGCTCCTCGTGTGCTCTTTAAGAGAATCGAATGCCCCCCAGTCCATGGAAAAATTATCTTCCATGAAACCGGTCCCTGGTGCCAAAAGCGTTGGGGACCACTGCTTTATGCATAACCTGTCCGAACCATCGACTCCTCTGCAGTCTCTTTTGAACTGGACCCCATCAATATTAAGACAGAGTGCTAACTCCTGTACGCACACATTCTGCCTTCTAAGAAACTCCTTCTTTGCTCCCCCCAAAAGGCACATTCCAGACATATATCTTCTCCCACCATGCCACATCAAGGATATGCCCACTGAGCTATCTTCCAATTGATGGAGTTTATTGGACTTGGGCTTCCTCCTCTCTCTTCTCCTAATCCCCACGCAGAGCGACCCCTGATGCCCCTGGGGCACGTCCTTGTTTACTGTGGCTCCAGACCCAAACCTAGGCCTTATCCCTGAGTCCTCCCTTTCCTTCAACCTCTATGTCCAATTCATTAAAAAATATAGTTGGACCTGCCCTGTCCTCTCTCTCCAGCCCCACTGCCACCCTAGTCCAGCCACCTGCCCATCTGCAACAGCCTCCTAACTGGTCGTCCTCCATTCATTCCTCCCCCTCCAATCCACTCCCCACCCAGTAGCTGGAACAAGCTTTTAAAAATAACAACCAGAACATTGTACTCCCCTGCTTCAGCCCCTCCAATAGCTTCCCATGACTCTTAGGGTAAATTGATCAGGGTCTTGCCAGCTCCAGCCAGCCTCACTCACCCTTGCCCAGTTCACTCAGGCACACGGGCTTTCTTTCTGTTTCTCAAACCCACTGCGCTTGTCCCTGCCCCAGGGTCTTTGTGCTTTGTGCCTGGAAAGCTCTTCTCTGAGTGCTCATAAGATTGATCCCTCATCATCCAAGTCTCAGCTCAACTGTTACCTCCTCAGAGGATCCTGCACTGTTTTCCTTCCTCCACAGCACTTAGCACCATGTGAAATTGTCTTATGTATTTATCCTTTCCACCCCCACCCCTGCCATCGCCATTGGAATATGACCTCCAAGAGAGCAGGACCTTCTCTCTTAGGTGACTGACTCGTCCCAATTTGCCTGGCACTTTTCCAGTTTTATCACTAAAAGTCCCATGTCCCGAGAAACCGCTCAATCTAGGGCAAACCGTGATGGTTAGTCACTCTATTGCCTGCCTCCATCACTGCTGTATTCCCAGTTCCTAGCATAATGCCGGTGCCTAGGTAGGAACTTAATACTCGTGAAATAGAGAACGGCTGAATGTCCATAAAGAATTTTTGATTCTGGCTCTAGGGGGCAGCATTCCCCAACCTTGTGCTTTCAGACTCAGCTTTGCAGGTTGGGCTAATATGTGTGTGCCTGAACTTAGGTGGTAAATTATGCAAGATTCTCCCCAGACCTTACCTGGTCCTCTTGCCCACCCCCAGCCCTTGTGGAGTTCAAGGCAGAGGACCCTGGATATGACAGCCCAAGGCCGTGCTTGACATGGAGGCGGGTTCCTTTCCCCTGCCCACCCAACCAGGTCCCCTCCTGCAGCTCCATCTTCCTCCTGAGGTCAGGCTTGTAGACCACAGAGCAGAAAGGACTGCCTAGAGAGGAGGTGTAGGTGGCTGGCTGCAGGGAGGAACTGGTCCCCTCATGGTGAATTCTAGCTTCTGAGGCTACAGGAAGGACTCAGATCCAGGGGTCACCTTGGCTCTGGAATGCTGCTTCCCAGGGCCCACCTGGGAAGGCTGTCTCTGCCCCTAGAAGGGGCTGTCGTCACTTCTCAGGGCTAGAGTGAAACTGCTCAGAGCCTGGCTTCTCACCTTGACCCCACTTCCTCTGCCTGCCCACTGACAGCCTAGAGGTCTGCACAGAAGGCAGGACGGCGAGTGAGAAGATGCTGAACGGAAGCAGCAGGTCTTTGAGTTCACAAGCTTTTAAGAGCATCAGGGGCAGAGTCACAGGTGGTGGTGAGGGGCGGATGTCACAGCCACACCAGCCTACGGAGAGCAGCACGGAGGAGCCAGGGCCCAGGCCTGCTCCCCTTTCCTGGTGTCCTCTGGTGACCCCCACCTCCTGACCAGAACCTTCAACTACAGGTACCTGCTCCATTCTCTTTCCTCTTTTACCGAGGGAGTTATTGGATGGGGAGGGTGAGGTAGGTAAAGCATGCAGTTCTCCTCAACAGGGACTTGAGCCTGACGGCAAATGGGGCTGATTCACTTGGGTGACTCTTGGAAGCTGCAAGGGGATGAAGAAGGGCAGGGAATGTACCTGTGAGTGAGGAGTGAGAGAACAAGGCTTGCGGGCAGGAGGGGAGGGCACTCACTCTTCCCCAAGGGCAAAGCCTGGCGCAGGAGTTAATCAATATTCACGCTTTCCGGAGGCTGAGGAAGGAGGATGGCTTGAGCCCAGGAGTTGGAGGTTGCTGTAAGCTAGGCTGATGCCACGGCACTCTAGCCCGGGCCCAGGCAACAGAGCAAGACTCTGTCTCAAAAAAAAAAAAAAAAAAAAAATTTACCCTTTAGATTTGGATTTGGGGATCAGATTTATTGAATGAGAAAGTCACTATGGCTCCTTCATCGATGCATGTGGACTCCCCTCTAGTCCAACTGCAAGGGCACTGGGTGAAGTAAAGGACTAGAAATAAGGCTGTCACCTGTGCTTAGTCCAGAGCATGGGACCCAAGTGTGGCAACCTATACAGGCTCCAGGGGCCACATCTGATGGTACCTCCCAGAGGGGGAAGAGATAGTCAAGTGATGCACTGAGGCAGTTTGAGGAATGGGATTTGGTCAAGAACTGGGAGGACAGGACCCAGGAGGAAAGACAGATCTCGGGGATCTACGAGGGAGGCGAGAAGGACCCATGGCAGGAGATGGGGGAAATCCATTTACTATTTAACGCAGGAAATCTCTCTTGAGGGCCTTCTATGTACAAGGCATTGGCCAGGCGTGTAG